AAAAAAAAAAAAAAAACATTCCTGAGTCAGGTGGCGCCAGCCCCATAAACCAAGGGTAGTGAGTCCAAACCCAACCACGGCCAAACTGCAACAAGAAATAGCTGGGCATTGTGGTGGGTACCTGTGGTCCCAGCTACTTGGGAGACTGAGGCAAGAGAATCGCCTACGTCCAGGAGTTGGAGGTTGCTGTGAGCTGTGTGACACACAGCACTCTACCGAGGGCGATAAAGTGAAACTCTAGTGTCTCTACCCAAAAAAAAAAAAAACTTCTGAGTCTTGCTAGGCACAGCAGTTCACACCTGTAATCCTAGCAGTCTGGGAGGCTGAGGCAGGTAGGTTGCCTCAGTTCACAGGTCCGAGACCAGCCTGAGCCAGGGGAGACCTTATCTCTAAAAACAAACAGCCAGGCGGGCTCGGCGCCCATAGCTCAGTGGTTAGGGCGCCAGCCACATAAACCAAGGCAGGTAGATTCAAACCAGCCAGGGCCTGCTAAACAATAATGACAACTGAAAAAACAATAATAAAAAAAACAGCCTGGAATTGTGGCAGGCACCTGTAGTCCCAGCTACTTGGGAGGCTGAGGCTATTGAGGGTGACAAAGTAAGACTCTGTCTCAAAAAAAAAAAAAAATTCCTGAGTCTTATCCTCCAAGAAGACTCAAAGAATACTGGGTGCCTCAGTGGTAGCTCCTCCCCAATGAACAACACATGGGGCTCTTACCTATTGGCCATGAGCTGCAAGATCTGTATGAGGAACTTCCCCAGGCCTTTCCGCCGCACCTTGCTTTCCAGCTGCACTTCATAGCTGGGCAAGAAAAGCAGGGAGGTGAGTGGCAGGGTGGGTATGAAGAGGCTACAAGGTCTGTCGGAAGAGCCTGCCACAGACCCACAGGTCTAGTAGACTTTTACCACCTGCATGGCCTGCCAGAGCATCACCAGGACCTCCCCCACCATACCGCTCCATCCAAGCCAGGGCTCCTACCAGTACAGGACTTCATCCCCGCATTCCACGTCAAACCGGAAGTGAGAAAAAGCAACGGGGATGGAACTGTTTTCCCAAGCAATGAGGTACCAGGCTCTGTCATCTGTCATTTCCTCTCGTTTCTCTCTGTCCTTCCAGCCCCACTCGCTCTGCTCATACCTGAGGAATTTGGGGGCAGTCAGGATGGGGAGGTCTGAGAGAGAAAACCCAGCTGGGGAACAAGGCTCCTCCAATCAGCCCATGCTTACATGGTTTGCATATTGGTTTTAGTCAGGTCAAAGGCCCAATCCACAGTGGCTGGCTCCAGTCCAGACACTCGCTTACATTCAATAGAGACATTCAACCTAAGAAGAGGACAAAAGAGGTATTAGGAGCTGCCTGTAGCTTCAGAGCTCCCACAGGACCCCAATGCTCCTCCCTGACAGTCTAATAACAGGAAGGCAAGCCTGGTCTCAGTCATTCTCTGGGGAAAAGCCACTGTGCACATTCCCCTACATAACTAGGAAAGGTTTGTAGAAACTGGGCCTTTGGGATGATATTAACCCCTGTCATCACCCAGCCCATCACCCTAACCACAAGGCTCCCTGCACTATCCTTATCAGCCACAGCACTCTGTAAACTTCTTGTCCCTCTCTGTAACCTCTTTGCTCTTTCCCTACCTCCTGACTCTTCTGTACTTTATTACATTCTTTTTCCTTATTTAGTTCCTGCCCTTAGGCATTTTTCCTGTTGCTTTAATTCTGAACTGACATCTCACTGGGCTCTCAGGGGACTTTTTCCTTCTTATCTACCAATCTTATCTTCAGAACTGATGAATGACCTCAGCTCTTTAAGAAGACTATGGCTCTATACACTGAAAATTAGTGTGAAAAGGGAAACAAAAAAGACTTTGGTTCCACAACTCTTTGCCAGGAGTCCCCCCTGCCTCTTTCCCTGGAGCAGTATCCTGACTGATCAAACAGGGTAAAGCAGGATCCAATCCAATGTTGTTTTCCTAGACTAATAAGTGCTGTGGGCATGAAGATATCTGTTTCTAAATGAAATTTAAGTAAAATATAGTTAAACTCAGGCCAATCTGAGACTACATTCTCTACCTAGTACCACATTCTGAACAGACTGAAGCAAGTAAGTTCTAAGCCTTCAAGATACAGAGCTCCTGTGTCAGTATTTTTTAGTGGTCTTTGACACAAGCCTCAGAAGATGTTCCCACTAGAATCCACCATTATCTATGCTGACTGGCACATCACATGAGCTACATACATACTGAGTTTTATAAATTCAGAACTTCCTACCCATAACCCTAAAGAGTATTCCTTTCTTTTCAAGTACCAACCAGGTAATAGTCAGAATTGCCTAAACACAGCACAGCATCTGTCTTAGCTATAAAATGTCCAAAGTCTATCTGCAGGTATAAATTCTCCATTGATCTTTAAGTATGTGAAAGTAAGATCATAACCACAGGATCACACAAAAGCCAAGGCACAAAAGGAGTCCAGAGGCAACCAGCAACGCCTGCTTTAGAGCTGTTCCTTCTTTCTAAAAGTCAGAAACACTGGGCAGCGCCTGTGGCTTAGTGGGTAGGGCGCCGGCCCCATATACCGAGAGTGGTGGGTTCAAACCCGGCCCCAGCCAAACTGCAACAAAAAACTAGCCGGGCGTTGTGGCAGGCGCCTGTAGTCCCAGCTACTCAGGAGGCTGAGGCAAGAGAATCGCCCAAGTCCAGGAGTTGGAGGTTACTGTGAGCTGTATGATGCCACAGCACTCTACCAAGGGTGATAAAGTGAGACTCTGTCTCTACCAAAAAAAAAGTCAGAAACACTGAGAAATATCACAGTAAAGGACCTCTAAACTATGTCAAAAGACTGATCAGAAGCTGAAAGACAAAGCTGCTAGAGGAACTATAATGCATCTTATCACCCAAGAAGAATAAATAAATGTGATGCTACAAAATTCAGATGTAGCTGTAAAAGGCAAATAGAAAGGCCAGGCACAGTGACTCACACCTGGAATCCTAGCACTCTGAAAAGCCAAAGCAGGACAATCCCTCAAGCTCAAGCTTTCAAGATCAGCTTGAGCAAGAGCAAGACTGTATCTCTACTAAAAATAGAAAAACTAGTCAGGCGTTGTAGTGGGCACCTATAGTCCTAAGTACTCGGGAGGCTGAGGCAGGAGGATCATTTGAACCTAGGACTGAGGTTGCTGTGAGCTGTGAGACAGTCTTAAAAAAAAAAAAAAATGCAGGCAGTGCCTGACAGGAGTAGGGCACTGGTCCCATATGTCGGAGGTGGCAGGTTCAAACCTAGCCCCAGCCAAAAACTGCAAAAGAAAAAAGGCAAATGGAATTCCCTGCTTCATAATTCACAAGTCTGTAATTATCTATCTTGTTCATTAAAATATTCATACCAGCTGCTACTTACTGAGCTAGATATAGTCCCTTTCCTCCTTAAGAAAACCTTACAAGTTTGACATTAACATCATATTTGGGCTCGGCGCCTATAGCTCAACCGGCTAAGGCGCCAGCCACGTACACCTAAGGTG